TTCAAGTCTTCTGACCTTCCGCCTTTCCGTCCCATCACCTTTTTCGACCTGGGAACTGAGTTAACTGCAAACCCAATATCAAAGTGTGTGTGCCACACTTTGTTTCCAAGAGTTTTGTTTTTCTGAAACCATGTTTGCAGGGGCCATCCCCCCCCACCAATGGTGGATGGCCACCGAGGAGGCCACTGGTGAGGGCTGAAAACGTACCTGCGGAACTGTTGCGCAAGCTGTTCTCCTTTCGGTTTGCTTCTCATGGTGGTTCTCATGCAATTCCCCTAAAACCATTTTTTATGCACGGCGTCAATTCGGTCTGCTAAGTATTCAGTAACTAGCTTTCCGCAGTCACGCGCTAAACTTTTGTTAAACACCTTCAACTCACTGGACCCAGCCGCCTTTCCGTTCCATCGCTCTTTTTGCCGTGGGTTCTGATACTGGACGAACCTGTGTGACTAAGTGTGTATCGCTGTGTCTTCCCACTGGGTACACAGTGTGGTCCTCTCGCAAGAGAGGTGCTGAAGCAGTTCGTGAATCACATTTTTCTGCCTCGAAGCGCAGCCATCGTGAATTCTGGTCCGATTAGTTTGTTTCACCCATGAATCTTCAGATCGCAAAGCTGCCGAGCTACGGAATTCTACGCCGCCGGGCTTACAATAAACATTGACATACACATGTACACACGCGCGCGCACACGTGGACATACCTTCCCCCGCGCTTTCTCTCCTGCGCTTTCTTCGTCTTCTAGGTGTTCTTTCAGCATTGTTAGGTAGTTCTTGAGGCTCGTTTCCCTGCCCCTTGGTTTTTTTGTCAAGGGCTAAGTAGTCAAGCGCTAAGTAGTCACCTTTTTCGCTATCCCTACCTTTTTCTCTTGCCCTTTTCGTGTCGCTCTCTCTGTCCTTATTCTTCCTTTTCTAAGGCTTTTTAGGTACCTACTGAGCTTCTGACCCGTAATTTGCCGCTCGTGCGGCAGACCTGCAAGCCCTTACACCTACCTTTTTCTCCTGCCCTCTTCGTTTTCCGTTTCTTTTTTTCTTCCTTTCTTTTTCTAAGGCTTGTTAGGTACCTATTTAGTTTTAGCGGCCGTGTGTGTGTGTGCCACACTCTGTTTCCAAGAGTTGTTTTCTGAAACCAGTTCGCAGGGGGCCATCCCCCTCACCAGTGGCGGATGGCCACCGAAGAGGCCACTGGTGAGGGCTGAAAACGTACCTGCGGTACTGTTGCGCAAGCTGTTCTACTTTCGGTTTGCTTCTCATGGTGGTTCTCATGCTATTTGCAGCCTTCGGCATGCCGCCGGCCACCAGCTCGAGCCCGCATTGGCAGGCAGCTTAATGATACAATACCCTGCTCAATCATACT